GTCCCCACCTGTCCCCGGGGGCGGCTGCTGCCCATCTTCCCGAAGCCCCTTGCTCCCTCGGCTGCGGTGGGACCGGGCAGCAGCGCAGCCTCCGACGCTCCTGTCCGTGGGGGGCCCGCGGAGCATGTCCGAGGAGAGCGAGATGGAGAAAGCCATCAAGGTAAGAGGGAAATGCCTCTGCCTCCCGGCTTTGTCCTCGTGGCATTCCGATCGCAGCAGCCTCAGAAAGCCGAGAGAACGTGCCAGGAAGGATTCCAGCGACTTCCAGGTGTCGACCTTTCCTGGATTCCTTGGACCTCGTTTGACACCCCAGGGGCAGAGGGTTTTATGTACGTGTAGGGTGGGATGCCCAACTCCCTCCAACCCCCGGGGTCAAGTGGGTGATGTGGGGTGTGCCGAGCGGGTATCTGCTGTGGCTAGGACGGAGGGAGGCCATTGAAGAGGCACTTGACTCGTTTTGTGCCCGCCCTCCCTTTGCTTCCCAAGTGCCACCAGCATTTGTTTCCGGATGGGCACCTGCATCGAAGCACTTAAGAGTGTGACTTTACCCCATCCCTCCTGATTTGTCCAACCTCCTGGAAATCGGCAGTTTCAGAAAGAGGTGGCTCGCCTGCGCACAGAGCCTGTCTATTGCGCGCTCTTGCGCAAGCCTTCCCGGCTCCTTTTTCCTCTTCCACTCCTTGGGAGTGCAGATTACTCAGGAAGAGCTCACCGTGTCGCGATGACTGCTCTACTCATGAAAAGAAAAATGTGTGTCCTGAAATGTTCCAAATAAAATGTCAAGTTATCTACTACTTGTTCCTTTTTTTTTTTTTTTGGAAACACACAAATTTTGACTACTGAGCAGAAAGTTATCTTTTGATTTGACAGCTAGCCTAGGAAACAAGAGTCTTGGGTACACACTGAACTCCAAAACTAAGGTGTGAGTTATTTGAGTCTGAAAATGGTAAGTCAACCCAGTGCATTGAAGAACGTGATTTTCCCCTGAGGGACAAACACCCCTTAGCAGCTTGGGGGTTATGATTCTCCCGATGGCAGTGACTATTAGCAGTGACCATAACA